TGTTCAGAACCTTTTTTAAGATGAGAACGTCAACGCCGACAACAATTACGATTCATCCAGACCTTGCAGTTTTTGGTTGTATACCTAAGATCACGTCGATAGTAGCGCGTAAGATTTGGCGCCAATTTGAACACAGCACACAAAGATCACTTGATTTTTACTGTTTACTACTTTTCAGTTTCTCGTGATTTGTTGAGCCCCTTTGGGTTCGTACTAACCCATAGAGCCACAGGCAACCCAGACTCACAACAGCCTACTTGAAACTTTAATTATAAGGAGTTGTATGGGAATTTGTATCGTATGATCGATAAAACGGTTGAAATGTACATAAACAGTATACATACCTCATAAAGAGTTGTCTGTGTTGTTTTCTTACTGTTTCTTGCCCTATAAACGCCTGTTTAGCAAGTTTTAATGTTATGGTACCAAAACATTAAAACTTGCTAAAATGGCGTTTCATTGGGGAATTCATGGAAATGTCCCGAGGCAATTTCACCTCAGAAAAATCGGTCACACACTAAAATTTGCTTCAAGAGTCATTTACCCATGGCTAGTGTGACCGCAATTATTATGATATTATTGTTATTAGATGTGGCGGGAGCTGGGAGTATCTAGAGTACGTTGTCGTGATTGTGTTTTTCTTGAAGGGATTTGGCAACAATGGACGAAGACGGATACATAAAGATCATTGGAAGAATTAAGGTACATTTATTCTTATAAAAATGCACTCCACTGGTTTTAATAAAGCCTCCTAAAATTTGGTATTTTGCTTCACGTCAAGGATCTAATAATTCGTGGAGGAGAGAATATTTACCCCACAGAAGTGGAGCAGTTTCTGTACAAGCATCCTAAAGTGCAGGACGTTCAGGTAAATTCAGCTATGTAAGCTTTTAGAGAACTGTATTGCTTTTTTTTGTTTGTTTGTTTGTTGGCATATTGCTCTCCCCCGGGGGGGGGGGAAGACTCAACAAACTTATAACCCTAACGGGGAGGCCCTGTCCTGTGGTCCGACCCCTTGCCCTTTTGCATACCAACCTTCTGTTGTACTGTCTTTGTAATATAAGCAAATCACTCAACCAAGGAAGTTTTCTGGTCCTTTTGACAGCCCAGTATGCGTCTGTTAGCCAGCTTTTGAGTCTTTTACAGCCCGAATTGACAGATTTCCCTCCCCTTTCATATACTTGAACAAGTGAATTTCCTACCCTTTCAGGCCTCTGCCCCGTATGAGCCATTATAGGGCGTACCCCGTGGGATTGGCCATTCTGACGTTACGAATGAAAATGGATTGGTGTCTTGCCGAATTGCACCATTGGGTTGATGTTTGAACATTATCACTTCTTACATTGGCTGTTACGACGTTTGGCGGGAAACTGGGTAAAAATTTGCCCCCAAAACAGCGCCATAGTACAATTCGACAGAGTAACATCGACACCGTCTTAAGTGCAACTTCAGAATGGCTAATTTCGATTCAAGTTGTTCAAGGACCAAATTTGGAAAAGGGGGTCTTTGACAATGCAAGCCCGGTCATCTGATAGCGTTCCCCGGCATGAATGTAGAAGTGTGAACTTTGTTTTATTTGGCTTACCTTCAGGTTATTGGCGTCCCTGATCAACGGCTGGGAGAAGAAATTTGCGCGTGGATCAAGTGAGATATTCCTTTTCTTTGCATAATAACACTTGAATTTGCTTTGATACCTTGTAGAAGGTTACGGGAAAAAATGATGTTTTCCCACGAAGTAAAGTAAAGAGAAAATAAGAGTTATTTGAAGAGGTTTGCCCGTCCAGCTCAAAGGCTGGTTGATTGCATTAAGCATTTAAACTTACAGTTTAAAAAATCTAAATACAATAAAATTTAAATTACAACACAAATTTGAGAAACGTCAATAAGAAATCACGGTAAAAAAAGACTGTCTTGCTTGGCGGCAGAAAGTCTTTATTCTTTTGCAGTGTTTATTGTGTTTAATAGAAGTTCATTAAAAGGTTTTTCGCCACTTAAAAGAAAGGTCCTTCTCCCGTAATGAATTTACTCTTTGTTAGATATAACCCGATACTCTGCTTTGTAGTGTAGTTCTGAATGTTGTAAAATCTAGCTTAATATAATAGAAAGTAGCTTGGGCCAAATAAATGAGGAGAAAGAAGAGCAAGCTTTGCCATTAGCTCGTGAGCCACGGTTTTCTTGTCGACTTATCCAATAAAGAACCCTTCTCACGTAATTTTCAGACCAGTACAGGAATATAAAGAATCGTTTGGATAAAACTAACAGCCACTTTTTGTTTCAGATTACACGCTGGTGAGTCAGCCACTGAAGAGGAGATCAAAGAGTTTTGTAAAGGCCAGGTATGCTTTAAGAACGTTAATCTACAACTTTACTTTTTGACTTCAATACTCGTTACATTCTTGTCGTGTATTTTTCAGATTGCTCATTATAAAATTCCTCGTTATATCACGTTCGTCGATGAATTTCCTCTCACTGTAACAGGAAAGGTAAGAACTGAACCTTAGAGGGCGAGGGTAATGGAAAAGCTTGGAACTTGAGGGGGTGGGAGTAACGCCAATGGTAAGTGCACGTGTCTGTGGGGATGGGTATAGGATGAGGGAAAAGAATTTAACTTTGCTGTCAAAAGAAAAGGTCTTTTCCGAGTTCCAACAATTCTCACTTTGAAAGCTAGCGAGGCTAACTGCCAACCTTTCTTGTGAAAATGAGTTTTATTGGCATAAAAATGAGAAGTCATTTCATATCGGTTGCTTCGCATTTAGCCTACCTCTGAATGAGAGGCTCAGAAATGACCAATTTGATGGCTGCAGATTCTGAATCGTGTTAGGTCGTTTAAAGTTTGTGTGAAGACTTCTCGTGATAAGCCAGTGACTTCAACCGCAAAACAAGGACATCAAGTCCTATTTTCAACGTATTGTCTCCTTCTAGGTGAAGAAGTTCGTCATGAGAGAGAAAACAAAAGAAGACCTAAATCTTTAACCAAGAACATACTGATGGTCTGGCGACAAGATGCGGTCTCCTTATGCGATGCTGGTCGTACATGACATTGCCTATCAGAGCTGATGGTAGCTGATTACTCACAGGAATACAAAAAACAGAGAGTTCTGGAAATGACCTTCACAGCGTGAACTGTAATTGCACTCTCGTTTCTGGCTGGACCACACTACGTACTATGCACAGTACAAATGAGGATTCTAATGTGAACACGACAAAATATTAAACAATGCCACTGTGATTACTTTTTTTTTCTTAAGTAACATTTATTTGGTTACAACACTTCTTATGACAATACTTACATTTAAATGGAGGGAAATAAAAACAACGTACAAGAGAGAAAGGAAAAATACAGTGTTACGGCATTTAGAGTGGTTTTCGTTTGAGTGTCGTAAAACCAAAACCAAAGTAATTACTCTGGCCAATCACAAAGGACACAGACAATACATTGAACCAATCAAAACTCGAAGTAATTACATGTGGCTGACGCAAAGCTCTGATTGGATGAAAAGGTGGCGCGAATCTTTTAAGCCAATCGCATCGTGTAGAAAGTGCAAAACCAATTACTTTTCGACACTCAAATGAAAACCGCTCTACAACTAATTAAGCCACTGTGATTACTGGCAGGACCTGAACCACCTTTCTGAAAACTGAAACACGAACATGATATACGTTTTTTAATGACAGTGGTTTTTGAAGTGCGATCTTCAATGATTGCAGACAATGACAATAGTATTGACACTGAAGGGAGGGTGAAGGATTTTGAAAGCGTCACAATTGTTTAAGGAATAATTAAAGTACAAATTCTTTTTACACTTGTGTGCTCATTAATAACCCTTCCTAGTCCTCCCCCTTTCGCAGAGGGTTCCCGTTAGGTAGTCCAATACAAAAATGCATAAATTAAAAAAATGGTAAACGCGCGATGAACGATGGGAAGAGGGAAAGTCTCTTCCCTTCCCATCGTTCCCCGCGCGCTTGTTTTCTTCCCTCTCCCCAGCCTCCACAGGACGCAAAGAGCCCTCTGCGGAGGAGAAAGTTCCTGGGATGGCGGAGTGGTTTGTTACTCTAACTTTAAAATCTGTGAACGAACCGGTTAGTAATTATAACTTGAATCAAACCTCTTCGACAAAAGTTAAACTTAAGATGTTGCATAAAAAGGAATTTGAATTTTTCAGTTAGTTTCAGTTTTTCTTCTCCCACTATTCGTATAGTCGCCCTCGCAGTCGGTATCTCTAAGACAAACAGCAACAATTAAATTGAAGGCGGATCAAACTGTTCAAGAATTATTTATTATCGTATATGCCCAACGTTTCGGTGAGGCACAAAACGTTTCTAATGCAAAGGAGATAAGGCTATCAAAAATATTTTTGAAAAGTGTTACGGGCAAAATGAAACTATATCATCTCTTGTTGTCAGTTACAATGTATAAAAATTTTACAAAGTTTAAAACTTATTGTCTCTGTAAAGAAAGTAAGCGCCTGTATATTTAACAATTATTCCTCCAGCCCGAATGTGCTCTGAGCTCAGAGGCCATGAGGGCGAGAAGAATAATTGTTTTGGTAAAATCCATTTAGTTGGTCAAAAATATCGTGACAAAACAACTTTAGCTAGCAAAACGCGACTCAGCCTCCACTGTATTGGTTTTCAAAGCTGACACTTTTCGCTGCTAGTGGGCTATAACATATAGCCTAGTGGTAGCCCAACCAATCAGAACGCAGCATTGATAATAGACCACTAGTTGGATTTTACTAAATATAAAATATTTATATATCCTACATTGTGCGAATTATATCGATGCAAAACCAATTTTACACATGTTGATATCTGGTTGAAATTTCAGCGAAAGTAAATAATTGTCTACAAGATGTAAAATGCACCAAATTTTGGATTTCTAAATAACTTTCATGTGCTTTTCCCTACCTCCCTTCATGCCCTTGTGCATTTCTACATGTGAGGTCATAATTTCACCCCTAATTTCCTTATTTTGATTTCAACGAAGGGAGTAAGTTAGCTGTCATTTTCGGTGTGCACAACCATATTCACAATTTGATGTTTGCCTTTCTTAAGTTAAATAGGATTGAAACTCTTCTGCTGCTTGTTCTTTCATGACGTACTTCTTAACCTAAAAACAAGGTGAAAGGCGTGAGGAAAAATAGAAGACAGCGAAAACTACCGTACTATAACATACTGTTGATAAGGACCCCGGATGGAACGGTGGTGCCTCCTTGTCAATCACCAGGTGGATTCGTTAATAAACACAGTAGATGAAACTTTTGTCAATCCGAAGGGAAACTATTATATAGAGTACTTTCTCGTCGAACTATTAGTTGATTAAACAGGGTTGAAGTACACTTTTTTGAGGCAATGTATGGAATCCTCAAGTATGACCATTCAGATGAACGGTTTGGGGTAGTTTTTTTTATCATGAATCTGTGGACCAAATCACTTTAAAAAAAAACAGTGGATAAAATAAAGGCTGAAAAACCTTTTTACTGAGATAATGGTGCAGTGGATATAGCCTCAGGGGATTTGATTCTCTCTCCTAGCCTGAAAGTAAGGTCTCCATGTCGAGTGCTTAGCGAAGCAAGCCATGAGTGAACGTGTGAACGGGTGCAAGCCACAAAGCCACGAAGCGTCTTCTTCTTTCGAGTACCACTCGCGCGTGGCTTCTCACGGTACTACTAACGGGTCTAAAACAGTCCCTACTCTACTACTAACGGGTCCTATTATACTACTAACGGGTCTAAAAAATTCACTACTATACTACTAGCGTGTCTAAAACAGTCCCTACTATACTACGAACGGGTCCTATTATACTACTAACGGGTCTAAAACAATCCCTACTATACAACTACCGGGTCTTAAACAGTCCCTATTAATATTTACCAAATCAGTGAATAGCAATTTTCGCGCATTTTGATTGACAAACTAACTCGGAATATCCTTGGGCTATTCACTGTTTTGCGACTGGAGCCAAGATGGCGTCTCGTTTCGAGACAATTTCGAAAGGTGAAATTTGAGCGTTAATTTTTAAAACGAAGCAGTCGCACAAACAACTACCAAGAAAGCGACGAACTTTGACTTGTCAGTGTTAACGGGTAGGTAGAAAATTATTTTCATGCTGAATTCGCAACAAAATCGTAAAAATGCACTGGACAAAATCCCCGAAATGTTTGTAAATTGTTAGCAAAGTTCCTACGAAGTAAAGTTTTTAATTTACAAAATGTTACTTTTTTCATTTTATCCAACTGATTTGGTAAATACTAAAACAACTATCCCCCTCATGGTCGGTTTCGAGAAATATACCTCGCTAGACGCTTCGCGTCTCACTATTCACCTCCCCTTCAGGGCCGGAATAGTTGTATACTATGCTACGAACGTGTCTAATACAGTCCGGACTATGCTACGAAGGGGCATAAAAGAGTCCCCACTGTGCTACTAACGGGTCTAAGACAGTACCTACTATGCTGCTAACGTGTCTTTTAAAACGTGACCAGTAATCATAACGTCTACTAACGTGACCTAACAATCCATCTTCAAGGAAATGACTTTCACTTCCCTCACCTTTCCAGAAGCTGTCATTGGATACTCGTCTACAAATTTAATGTAACGAGGGATCTTGTAATAAGCAATCTGTCGAATAAACATTGCCAAATCAGATGCGCCAAAAGGATGAATAAACTAGGACAGGCCATCACGCGGGAAAGCGTACGTTCTTTATTTCGACATCTAATAACCGATTGGACCTGTTTTAAATTTATACCCAGTACACGTCCAGAACCTAAATATCCCTCATGCTCTGTAAATGGGGTTCAAAACTACACAGTCTTACAAAAAATGATAAAGAATTCTCCTGTTTTTCCGTGTAAAAAAGTTTCTCAAATGAGGAGAAGGTGAGAATTTTGAATATTATTTACCGTATCTTCTTTCGAAAGTCTGTGGGTTTAAGATGATATCTCGCAAACGTTCTGGTATTTTTCAATACATGTACTGAGCACTCTAGAGAAAATACAACGAATCCTTTTACTAGTAAAGACCTGGCGGTGGAAACCCCGCGAATCTCTAACCGAGGGCCATGAAATTCGATAAACAGGCCTTACCTGACCGTTACAATAGTCTTTTAATTCTTCAGCAGTCATAGTTTCTCCTTTCCATAGCCTGACGATAAATCAGTGATACATTAGGAAAGGATGCTAGCGGTGCTCTCTTTTTAAAAATGTCTTGCAGTTACCCCTCCTCCAACCTATGTCGGTACATGGATTCAGTATAGGGTGGGGGTCGGAACTGGGCATGTGCTTCTTAGTGAGTATAAAAACGCCCCACAAACGCAGATTTGTCCAAAGACTTTTGTCTGCGATTGTATGGTTTTCCACTGCTTTCCGTCTCACGTACGATGTATGATTGGAACGACTCCATGAGGAATGTGGCCAGTTGGGCCTATAACCTAAGTTTAAAGGCAAGTTAACTTACTTGATCCAAGCACACACCTCCTCTCCAAGTCTCTCATCCGGGACACTTATCACCTTATCGATTAAAGAAAATCTGGCATTAGATGAACAAAACCTAAGCGAACATAGCAGAGTCCGATCACCCTGAGGAGCATTGGATTGATTAAGACCCCAATTTAGATTCGAACCTCAAATAAGAAAGTTCGAGGATTATTAAATTCTTTCATCATTCGACGCAAATTTGGGAGCAAGGGTAGCGCAGTGGTAAGTACACTCGCCTCCCACCATTGTGGCCCGGGGTCAAATCCCGGCGACGACGCTATTTGTGAGTTGAGTTTGTTGTTGGTTCTCTCCTTTCCTCCGAGAGGTTTTTCTCCGGGTACTCCAGTTTTCCCCTCCCCTTAAAAACCAACATTTTAAAATTCCAATTCGACCAAGAATCGGGCGGACGAAGAACCACTTAGTGGATGCGCTACCTTAAGACCGTTATTTATTTATTTTATTTATTTGTTTTTCTTCCATTTCATTGGTTGAGGGCTCACCACGTGACCTGCATATAGCTGCCTATAAATAATCGTCTGCTTATGTGCAGTGCTTGGCTGCAAATAATATTCTGCTCATGCGTAAAAGTGAAACAACGCTTTTCTCCTTCTTGCAACTGCTCTGGCGTGAAAATGGCAGATCGTCTGCAATCCATGACTGTATTCATTAAAAAACAAACTCGGCAAATAATTGATCTGCTCGCCACTGACAAATCACGATATTTTGCAGTAAGCCTTACATACCCCTGCCTCAATAATGCGTTTTACCTGAGCATCTTGTATCTTTGGATGAGTATGCAGAAAGTATTCAACTTCAGCTGGATAAACGTTTTGCCCTCCTCGAATAATTAAATCCTGTTGCATGAATTGAGACATAGGTAAGAATACTGAATGAGGGATCAGCACTAAACGTGGAGGACTAAAAAGTGCAGACAGACCAACAAACAACAGACATGAGACGGTCATAAGGACTGATCGATTGACTGATTGACTGAGTGAGTGACTGACTGATTAGCTGATTGACTGACTGACCGACTGACTGATTCACTGACTGATTGACGGATTGACTGACCGATTGATTGACTGACTCACTGACTGATTGACTTACTGACTCACTGACTCACTGACGGATTGACCGACTGACTCACTGACAATTTGACTGACTTAATGATTGGTTGATTGATTGATTGACTGACTGAATAACAAACAAAAGACAGGTAAGTGATAATACTTCCGTGCTGCATTGGTATGTTCATGTAAGCGTTGTTTTTCAAATGCCTTACTTTCTGTTTTTTGAATGTCAGATGCTGGTCAGCTCAACCTGCACGTTTACCTTAAGTCTTCCTGCAATTCTCAAGTAGCCACGCTCATCCATCGTCCCGAGGTCGCTGTTGACAAAAGTGAAATAACATTTGTTAATCGTATTCTTAGATTTTGAAATGAAAAACTAAGAAAGGTGAAAAGGGCATCAACAAAACCGAATCACCAATGAGTGAAGTCATGGTATCATAACCCAATTCCCTTTTACATATTTCCCCCCAGGAGTATCAAAAGACACGATATACTCACGGACTTTTTCCCCCATATCAAGAGTGGACCGTTGCCACTTCCCATTTTCAATAATACTCCAGAAACATATTTTTTCTGTGATATTATTAGCTAATACTCTAGCAGAACCTCACCCGGTAGGGTTGGGGACTATTTTCTCCGACTATTCTTTCTTCCTTCAGCACCTCACCGCGAAAAAATAATTGGCGGATGCATGTTGATCCAGGTATGTGTAGCATGGATGGCAGGCGTGAAAAAAGGGGAAGGGAGAAAAGGAGAACAGCTAGAAAGGAAGAAGGGAGAGGGAGCCTGTATCATGGTTGTTTCTTACCTAATACATGTCAATAAGTTAGTAATTGTAGCTCAGCCAATCAGACATCTGCGGACACCAGCCGGACAAGGTCCGCAGAAATTAACAGGCGTCTCACCCTAATCCACTCTCCCTTTCCCCCTCTCTTCCCCTCCGATCCCCTCCTTCCAAGCCTGCCACGCAGGCTAAGCATGAGTAACAGACCGTACTTTACTCGTGGACTCCTACCCGGTGTGTAACCATCCGGTCGGTCCCACAGCTTTCTCCGTCTGTTCTTTCTCCCCCCAATATCCCATCATGACGCAGTACCCTCGGATACAAACTTCCCCAGTGGTATTGACCGGCACTACACTCCCTTCTCTGTCCACAATTTTTATCTATTAAGGAACAAAAGAAAGAAACAAACAATGATAATTACTGACACGCGAGAAGAATGAAATCGAAGACGTTTTTCCCGAGTGTTAGAAAAACCACTGTTATCGCGGAAACAACTAAAGTAATCGCCGCGTACGGAAAGGGAGATTGCATAATTTTCGTTTTTCTCCTTAAAGTTATTTGGAAGGAAAAACAAATTTAATACACACCGTAACCCCGAAATTCTGAGTTAACAGTGAAGGTAAAAAGAACGTATTTTGTCCTGTTCTAAGGATACTGCCTGTTTCAAGATAATAAAGCCCGGCGATGGCTTTGAGTTACTTGTGTGGTCTGCATGTAGCCTGGGGATTTCAAGCAGGTTAGCTTAGTCGGTAGAGCGCTAGACTGACATGGGTTAGACTGTCTGGGCCGGACCGATACTCGGGGCCTTGAATGAGACGGCATGAAGGTTTTGGCTTTGCCCTAGAAATGGCTAGGTGATCGCGTGGCTCGTAGAAATGCCGACAGATCTTCAGAAAAAGACTTAAAAAGAGTATCCTCAATTGGTACGGTCGTGCTAAATACATTGAAACGTAAATTAAGCAGCTTCTCTTTAACGAAGTCTTGAAGTACTAGCTTATAAGAGGCTCTCAAAGTGATTGGCACGATTATAAATGTAGGAGTAATTACACTTCTACCACATCCTTTCGAAAATGCCTGCAAGTGAACTCAATTTATCAAAGCATACAAGCCCTTAAAAACACTGCATGGATTGCATGCTTGCAGAGGACACTAATTCAATTCTTGTGTTGTTTTCATGGTTTGTATTTATACTCTGAATCATGCTTTAATTTGGGTGAAAGGAAGTGGCTTTAACAGTGGGCACATCTGACCTCTGTGTGTGGAAACACCTTTCCCACTGTGGACAATTCATTTTCGTCTGAACTGGCTATTGATGTTCCAGAAACCAACGGGCTGGATTCTGTACAGCCGTAGACAATCTATAACAGGGAAAACGGTACAAGTATTCTACCAACAAATAAAGAAGTTGGACTAAATAAGTTTACAATTAATAGCTGAAAAGCGAAAATTCAAGTTACAGGTGTGATTGATGAAGGCCATCAGAAAAAGGTCCCGCAAAGAACCGTTTCGGGGCGTCATAAATGGATTAGTAGGTACCCTCAGGAGGTTTACTTCACCAGAAGCTAGGCATAGGCAAAGGCATATTGTTCAGACTGTGGCAGCCGTACCTTTGGACAGATGTTTCGACTGCTGTACGCCTTTCCCAGATATGCGACTTAGTATATCTCGTGAGTATTGTTTCTTGACAGAGGCCTATTGATATGCGACAAAACGTCAGAGAACCAGAGAGTCAAGTCAGCATGGCGTAGCCGCGAGTTGTAATGTTATGCAGTCGCCATCTTGATTTTATGGTTGAATTCAGTCTGTTACCTGACACGAGTGAGCTCGTCCACCCTGCTGTTTGCTTTTAGGGGGAGTGCTTAAAAAATCCACTAAGCTTTAGTACCATACTACAGTGGAACCTCGATTCAGTAATGAAGGGGCAAGGCGCTGACAAAATTTGTTTGCTATAACCAGGTTTCGTTATATCGTGATTCTTTTTCAGTGCTTTTTCATATATTCTACTGTTATTGGGGTAAAGAAAATCGTTCGTTACATCAGGGACTTCGTTATATAGTCATAGAGGTTCGTTATATCGAGGTTCCACTGTACGTACGTATACAAGTAACTGGATAAAAAACATAAAAAGAAATTTACCGTTAATTGTACTTTCAAAGTGGATACAACTTGCTTCATTAGTTCAGCAGAACACGATGATGCTCCAGTGAGCCCTACAAGTCAGTAGAAAGACAAAAATTAGACAATTTTCTTAGAAAGTGTGGATGGATGTTTCTCTGATTCTGCTCTAAAGAACAGGAAAAATGCGTGTTCAGGCTAATTTCCGTGCATTGAAATTCACATTTGGCTTTGAGGCAAAGGGAAAAAGCGAAAGAAATGGAACGAGAGAAGTGTTTTGTTCCTCTTAGCCTCGAAGCCAAGCATAACCTTTTTATATATAGAATCGGACTCTGGCATAAAAGTTTTCCTAATCATGAGTGATCAATTACTCATCAAGAGCTACTGAGCAGGATTTTCTGGTACTGCCTACGGAGAGCCTCAGATAAAAAGCAAAATCTTTCCCCAAACCTGGCGCGGTTCTTTTTACATTCTAGTATTCTGTTTTCATGGTTTATTGCGCCACATTTTCTGACCACTTCTTTTACCCTATGTAGCAGACGGTTGGAAGTTATTACTGAGAGCGAGAACGGAGTGCGCGACGGACACACGCCCACTCTCTTCGCTAGTGTCCCCTCGCGCGCCAGGTTCTTTCTTGCGCCCATATTACTTGCAAGCGCCTGCTAGGCAGGTTACACTTGTCGCTTGTTTTTGCAGCAATACCCTTTCGTAGAGTGGAAAGATCAAACTTGTCCAAATCGGGATTGGCGAGGGCATCAAGGAACATTGAGGGGGTTCCATACAGAGTATCACACCTGTAAATTAAAATAAGAAGCAAATACATGATTAGGCACAGGGAAACCAGATAAGCTGTGTAATTCTAAGGCAATACCCGATGAACAGCGAAGCGTGCAAAAAAAAGTCTTTGGATGGATAAACAATTCTCTTAGTTTGCCAAATGTGACTAAAATGCGAACTAGTTGAACTGCCACACATGTTCGTAATTGTCAATGAAAACTCACTTACTTCTCATCGTGAACAGCCCTCAGAGTAGCTGTGCTGTTATATCCACGAGATGGGTAGACAGCAGTTGCTCCCCATTCCATGCAAACCATACTGCACCAAAACATAAAGGCAATTCTTATTTGGCGGAATTATTAATTAATGTAGGAAACTGAGCTTATAAAGACTGCCCCGTAATGCCAACACACAACTTTTTTTTTTTTAAAAAACATCCTATGTATCACTTTCACGAAGGTGGATTAAAGTTCAGACTTACAGAATGAACAGTTATGAGTTTAACACCTCAATAATAAACGAATTATTTAAAGACTTCAGCAATCATTTAGTTTATCTTGATTATGACTGTTGTCTTAATAAAGACGTCTTCAGTTTTCAGCCTAATTGGTCGCCCACAACCTGATAATGTGGCAGCCTCACTTTCGAGTTTTCCCAACGACGACGGCGACGGCAACGAGAACATCAAAACAGCAATGGCAAAACAACAAGTTTGAAACGTACATAACGCTTTTTTGTATACTTCTTTGCCGTTAATGCACGACTACGATGTGAAAATGCCTAATTTCGCGTTTTATGGAGGACGTAAACAAGCGACAATTAAATTTTCTTTCTCTTTCTGAACTTGAGTGCGGTCCCCAAGAAATCAACTCCAGGGATACTTGCCTACATTAGACTTTTTCAGCGAACTGGAATAAACGCGACAAAGTTTAAAAAAACGCTCATTAATTTTAAAAGTGACGTTTTTGCTGCGGTCGCCGTCGTCGATGCTAATACTCCCTTTTATCTAGAAGGTGGAAAGCAGAGAAACCCAGAGAGACGTTTAAAGAAATAAATTTGAATATTGCAGGTCTTCAAATGGCAAAGTAACGAAAAGAGTACAAAANCGAGAACATCAAAACAGCAATGGCAAAACAACAAGTTTGAAACGTACATAACGCTTTTTTGTATACTTCTTTGCCGTTAATGCACGACTACGATGTGAAAATGCCTAATTTCGCGTTTTATGGAGGACGTAAACAAGCGACAATTAAATTTTCTTTCTCTTTCTGAACTTGAGTGCGGTCCCCAAGAAATCAACTCCAGGGATACTTGCCTACATTAGACTTTTTCAGCGAACTGGAATAAACGCGACAAAGTTTAAAAAAACGCTCATTAATTTTAAAAGTGACGTTTTTGCTGCGGTCGCCGTCGTCGATGCTAATACTCCCTTTTATCTAGAAGGTGGAAAGCAGAGAAACCCAGAGAGACGTTTAAAGAAATAAATTTGAATATTGCAGGTCTTCAAATGGCAAAGTAACGAAAAGAGTACAAAACATTATAACCTGGTAACAGAGAGACCAGCGCAGTGGAATAGAGGCCAAGGAGAACAGACTCTTCCCGGCTGAATACAAAGAAAGACAAAAACGTCAAAGTTAACCCTTTAAACTCTAGGATCAAAATTTGAATTCTCATTTGTTGCTCCTATTTATTTCCTACAGAAGTAGTGGGGAGAAGTTGATAAATTATCAAGCAAATTCATCTTGTGTGATCATGTCCGTAATTCTCATGACCACTCTGTTTTACAAAGCATTGATATTAGAAGGAGAAATTTGATGCTGGTCACTCTTAGGGCTTAAAGGGTTAAGGCAGATACGTAAGCCATGTTCAGTTTGTTAACAGCATAAAATTGTAAACAAAGCTTCTGGATAACAGGAATTGACCAAAGGGACCAACTCCCAGATCCCAGTTGGCACGATAGCTTAGTGGTAAGAGCGCTGGGGCCCATTTCTCGAAAGTCCCGATAATTAACGGGCCCATAAAGCTATTGTTGTTTACATGCAAGATAGAAGTTTCAATAGCTTTGCATCTAACATGATGAAACTATCAGTTAATGGAACAAAATGGAGTGTTTTGCTAGCCAGGACCCGCGCTCTGCCTCTTATTCTTTTTATTTCGATTTGAATATTTGATTTCCGGCCCGAAAAGTTATCGGGACATTTGGAGAAACGGTCCCCTGCACGAAAAACGTAGAGGTCATGGGTTTGAAACCAGTTTAAGCCTGAACTTTTTGAGGCTCTTTCTCGCAACTGCTTCAGTTGGAACATGACTGGGAGGATTTTTTTCTCGTGTTACAAGAATTGACAAAGTAGGAATCGTTTGATGCAGTCGGAAATAAAACGTCTTAACTGTGTCATAATTTTATATCTGATTACTGAGCACGCCTCCCAGCGTTTTACTCTCCTGTTGAAGAAGAAAACTATTTCTTCTCTAACCTCTTGGAAGTTCATGTTCTCTCCCACCAGCACAGCATTGTTAACTAAATTATGATGAGTCAACGTAACACCTTTGGGATGTCCAGTTGTTCCCTGCAGAATTAGCACACAAACAATGTCCTGTCTTGATTACGTGAAAATTAAAGAACCTGGTATTTAGTAATTATAATCGGTACTCCATCCTCAGAATTAGTCAGCGAAACCACCTTGTATAGTTCAGCAAACCACAGGTAGCCCAAGCTCGAATTATGAGCATCGGCATTGTTGCATAACATTCGAAATATAAAGATTTAAGGGTATTGGGAAAAACTGGGAACGAGTCACAGTATTATGGTTACTGCCCAGTAGTTTCTATTTGAATTGCCAGGTAAATGTCGGAGTTGTCATCTTTTTAGTATCTTTATGTATCGGCGGACTGATACAATTGATCTTTCTCCCGAAAACCTTGAATCTACGACAAAAATAAAAGGCATAACCAGAAGAAAGAAAAAATGAATTCAGCCAGCGAATTACACCTGACCAACACCTGACCTCGCCGATCGCCTCCAGGTGATGGGGAGATTACAGTGCGACTACTTGAACCGGGGCACTTGGAAGAAGATTATCCAATCACAACGGTTTTTGGAAAACAATAGATTCTCAAATTTTTTTTGCAAACGGACCAAATGACATCAAGGTTCAACTATCCAACCGTTGAAAACTTTAAAACCGTTTGAACGCANATTACGTGAAAATTAAAGAACCTGGTATTTAGTAATTATAATCGGTACTCCATCCTCAGAATTAGTCAGCGAAACCACCTTGTATAGTTCAGCAAACCACAGGTAGCCCAAGCTCGAATTATGAGCATCGGCATTGTTGCATAACATTCGAAATATAAAGATTTAAGGGTATTGGGAAAAACTGGGAACGAGTCACAGTATTATGGTTACTGCCCAGTAGTTTCTATTTGAATTGCCAGGTAAATGTCGGAGTTGTCATCTTTTTAGTATCTTTATGTATCGGCGGACTGATACAATTGATCTTTCTCCCGAAAACCTTGAATCTACGACAAAAATAAAAGGCATAACCAGAAGAAAGAAAAAATGAATTCAGCCAGCGAATTACACCTGACCAACACCTGACCTCGCCGATCGCCTCCAGGTGATGGGGAGATTACAGTGCGACTACTTGAACCGGGGCACTTGGAAGAAGATTATCCAATCACAACGGTTTTTGGAAAACAATAGATTCTCAAATTTTTTTTGCAAACGGACCAAATGACATCAAGGTTCAACTATCCAACCGTTGAAAACTTTAAAACCGTTTGAACGCACCTCACCTCTCAGGAAAAAGCCCTCAAATTTATGAATGTTATTATTTCATTTGAAAAAAAAACTTGAGAGTTTTGCTTTCAAAATACGTTGTGATTGGGTAATCTTCTTCTAAGTGCCTCGCAGGTTCGAGAAGTCGCGCTGTAACACCCCACTCCAATGCTCTGAACCAAAGCGCATTTTATTTTGAAATTCTCTAAAATTATTAAGATAAAACCTGTTTGTGGACTCACCGATGTAAAAAGAAGACAAGCAGGATCATCAAACTGTATCATTCTCTTTAGCTCCTTCATCTTTTGTGAAACATCTACATCAACAGATCCATTTTTCAGCTCTTTAAATGGAGTAGTTCCCCTGTCAGGTTTAATCACATTTACCAATCATTCTCAGCGGGATTTTGGACCATGGGCCACCTTTTTTAATTAACTCGTACATTTACGTTACTTCTTACTGTGTACAATTTGCGAGAGTGTTTCATCTCCTTAATACACTCAGCCTGCGTAACAGGCGCTTGAAAGAACACGCAAAGAAGGCGCAAGAAAGGAAGGGCCGAGCGAGGGAGATACTCGAGGGAAGGGTGTCTCGAGTATCTCCATCAGGCGTCTCGTTCTTTCTTGAGCCCATTACTTCCCACGCAAGGGCCTGCTAAGCAAATAGAATACATCTTGAATAAGCTCCTCGAGGTTCCATCAAGGGGGCTCTGCATATCTCGTATCCATTAAATCTGTGGTCTGAATTTCCAAAGCCGCTTTGCTTACAATGCTTTGTATCCCTATAATACCAAAAACTATTTAGGATGACGTTATTTTGAGGAAAGAGAAGGGTTTTCTTCTTAAAAGGAGGCTCCTTGCGAGGGCTCAAAATCGTTAAAATTCGACACAAAAATGCAAACAATCTTATTTGTAAGTATTTTGCTCCAGCTCTGTAGTATTTCTTATCGATCACTATACATACCTCTTGTTCTAGTCAAGGAAGGCTTCTCTGACACTCCATTTCCTCAAATCTCTTGTCTAAATATCCTCTATCCTGTTGTGAAAGTCCCGTAACCCTATAATTTTCCATCTGTATTTTCGTTACTTTTAGGTGAAATGAAAGGCTCTGTTGTTAATTCGCTTTAGACCTTAAACACCGCTGACTGCTCTGCCAATGCTTGTTTTACTGCAGCAATGAAAACCTACAATAGATTGTTTGTACAACCAGACGTATGGTAAACGACTGTGGTGTATGAGATACTGACCTGAATGGTTCACTAGTTTTGTTCACAATAAACACATCTCTCAGCTCCGGCAGTCTAAGTTATAACAAAAACAAAGGAGAGAGTTAAGAAAATTACGCAACCAGCTTTCAAATACTGTCAAAACGAAAGCACTTTAGGATAAGAATCACCTTTTTACTTTTGTCAACAGATCTGGACAGGCTTTTACTTCAATCAAGCTAGGCTGAAATCGGTTTTTGCGTGTGTGCCTGGCCTGTGTTTGTGAGCCGAGTGTGATTGAATACTTCAAGTAAGTTCAACTTTGAATTATCTATCGTTTTTTACTTTTTGTTATACCCTATGTACTTCCCATCTTCTCCATATGTACTGACTTAAATCTACTTTCGTTTTCTGGCACATGTGTCCAAAATGGAGATGAATAAGGCCTCCCGCCTTTACATGGCTCCAGACAAATTTTTGAGCGACCAAAAACGTGCATGTGTTTACACGGGACCCGCGGAACCTTGCCAGTTTTTGAATGGCAAAATGTTCCAGTTTTTCAGCGTCGTTCCCAGTCGTCCTCGACGATTTCGGATGTGACGTCTCCTGTTAAGTTTGTCGGGAAAATTCGCCGAGCTATCGCACTCGGTTCCAGGCCTCCTCTGGTAACTCGGAGAGCGCGAACTGCCCTGGGTACGAGGCTGCCAGTTTTTCACCTGATCAGAAGTAGGTCCCGTGTAAACGCGTTGCACAGGTAAAAAATTCGTCTGTTCAAAAATTTGACTGGACAAGCGTGTAAACGGGGTCTAAAACGAACTAACCAATCAGCTGCTCAATTTACTTATCACTGAATATTGCTTCAAAGTTATCGCAAAGAGAATAGCTACACAGTACTCAAGTACTTTAATTTGCTTGAAGTTTCCAGTAAGCGACCAGCCACAGTTGAAACATGTTATTTTGCGGCTCCTTGTATTCAGTTAAGATGTTCAATGTGCCCGGGTGATATGGTTGTGCGCATGCGTAAGGTAATGGTCATACTGCGGAGTTGGTAGGTGTGCTTCAGTACTAATATTGGTATAGTGTAACCTAGCCTGCGTCCCTGACGCAATTTAACCTCGGTTAGTAAATTAACCAGAGTTTAGCTTCGTCTGTGGCACAGGCTAAGTATCAACCCGAGCATAACAACCTTGTACTGTAAAGACTTCCTGGTTTTGCCTCAGGTAGTTCTGGTACTATGCTTGCCATCATGCTGTAAAAATTCTGTGTTTTAAATTCATCTGCTATTATTACCGCTTTACATCCTGCCTTAAAACGAAAAACGATATTTATAATTACTGAAAGTTCGAAAGAACGCGACAACTTTCAAACTTAATCACAATTCAATTCCCATTTTAAACGACCAGTTTTGCGAATCGGAAAAATATTACAGAGCAGCCTAGTCCCCAGGCTAATTCGCGCTATCCGAGTGAGCGGAAAAAGCCTGGAGACGAGCGCGATAGCTCCAGACAAGCTTGGGAACGAGGTTGGCTGGGGACTACAGGGCATGAGACTCAGGAGTAGAAATGAAAAGACGACCAAGAAATGCAAAACATACCTTAAACCGGCGTTTATAATTGTCTGACTTACCTTCTTTAAAATGTATTCAGCTTCGAACTGTTGGTATGCAGGATTTAAACAAACCTGTGTCAAAAACGAACCCAGAAGATGTGAGACAACTCTCTGCCACATATAATATGGACCCAGTGTACTGCTCGCGCTGCCAATTTTCCCCAATGTACCCTTTTAACCCTTAACTTCTACCCTTAAGGTTCTCGTTTTCACACCAGGGACCTTTACGATCCGAGGAAGAGGATGGCACGCGAAACTGAAAACGTCCCTTAAAAAGTAAATTCGAATTCATTCAGTCTTCATCGCGATTATTCCAACTCGCCAACTTTGTCATTCCTGGATTACAATTCCTAAGAACCATGCATATCCAACTTCAGAAAGAAAAGGAAAATTTCGTCAGCCTTACTTACGTCCGCCATGCTTAACAAGTGACATTAGGCAGTTTCAAGTCGTAGTCGTGCAACAAAGGCAAGGAAATATACAAAAAAGTGCGTTGCGCGTGCAGGGTTGTTGTTTTGATGTTTTCGTTGCCGTCGCCGTCGCCGTCGCCGTCGTCGGATCTTAACGTCCTTACTTATCGAGATAACACGCACCTACCAGTATCAGTCCAATTCGAGCAGCAGCAAACTGTGTGAGGATCCAGTCTCTGCTGTTAGGTAACCAGATTGCCAATCGATCACCTTTTGTAAGACCTCGAGAAATAAGCCCCACAGCAAGTTGATCGACCTGGAAGATAATAACAGGAATTATATATGTTTGCAATGGTTTTCTTAGATTGCAAAGCAGTTGGTTAAAAAATTGGTATTCAAGGCGTGGAGCGCCAGCCGTGAGATCCGGCGCGCGATCCTCGCACAATGTCACACGCCCCAATGGTGTGCGAAAAAGACATTTTTCGAGTTTCCTTTTTTAGTCTCAATCTCCGTTTTCACCCTCGTTCCAGACCTTTCGTTCGACTGCTTGTGCGCCCTTGACCTACGTGGCTTAGGTCAGAGGCCTATCATGGCGTGTCAAAAAAACGTCTACAAGGGAGGCTGCAGATTTTAGATCCACGATCCCCGTTTACTCTTGTGTTCTTCTCACTTCGCGGGTGTTTCGTGGTGTCGTGGAAACCATTGTTGATTTGCTTTTGTGCTGCAGAGTGGGTTTAATGTCCTTTCAAGCGTTTATATTACGTCATTGACTCTGGTTTAGACCTTTCTACAACGGCCATCTCTCTACAACGGCCATTTTCTTTTGTCCCAAGGTGGCCGTTGGAGAGAAGTTCAACTGTATATTCTTACCTCATGTTTAAACTCTGAAAAAGTTGCTCGATGTCCATCTTCACAGAAGATATACGCCTCTCTCTCCGGGAACCTCTCTACAACCTTATCAAATCTTTCTCCAATTGTGTCACCCAGCAGAGGTTTGGTAGAAGTCCCGTGAGAGTAACTATACTTTAACCTGTAACGATGTAAACACACTAATTGAATACCGTAAACTGCCGCTTATAAGCTCCCCCACTTATAATCTCCGGCTATAGGCCCTTTCACTGACAAACAAAATAATACATCCGATTATAAGCCCCCAACGAATATGAGCCTCCCCCCCCCTCCAAATTTATTGAAATGAAATCGATTTATTATGACTTTGAAGCTTTTAACATTCATAAAATTTAATTAGAATTTAATATAATTCATTTAATCAAAAGTAAAAACCAGTGGTGTTGTTGTATGATAAGTCTTTTGTAGAAAGTCAGGCGTTAACTGAAACCACAAAGCGCACATGAATAATTTAAGTGGCACTACTCGACTACGCGATAGCCTCTTTTTTCGTTCCCACCGCGGGGCATTTGGTAGCTCTAGTGTCCCCGCCCCCGAGAGTTGCCTTCCAAGGCAAAAAAAAGGCTAATGCCGTGGGGTTAGCCCGGAAGGGGGGCATGGGCGCAGCTGTAATTGACTGATGCATAGGAGGTCAGGAGCCTATGAGTTTATGGCGTGTCTGAAAGATCGGGACATGAACCAGGATTGACTCAATGCTCTGGAGATCTAAAATCTGGAGGCTCTCTCTTTTTCACTACCCCCACCCCACCCCCAAATTTCAAAAGACCCCCTCCTCCGACAATTGACCCCGCTCCCAATGGGAATGGCTTAGGATATTATATGAAGTCTTACATAAATTGGATACTATCAAAATTCGCGATCATGGTTTAATGCCGAAATCCTGTGGGGAGAAGCGTTGCCTGACGTCATTAAAAACGGCTGTGTAGCAGACTAGCATACACGGCAATGATAAAGAAGAGCGTAAGCAGCGTAAGAACCTTGACAAGCAATTTTTGTAAAAAGAGGTACCTACTACCCTTCTGCTCAAGTCACCAGTAAAGGCCTCTAGCTAGACTTGCCTACAAGCTGCTACGAGTCGAGCTCAAATTTTTTCACAAGCGTGGCGCGAATCGCGAGCGGTAGTTTTTTTATGCTTTCAGTGGCAAAAGCGAGCCTACCAGAACCGGGAATGAGAAGCGAAGGACTATAAGGAAGTCTAGCCTCTAGCCTGAAAGCAAGCTCTCCATCATGTAAATTCACGAACGAGTGGCATGCACGTACGCGAAAAGAGAAGCGAGAGCGAGGGGCTTTGTCACCTGCCGCGACTGTATAACTACGAGTATAATTTGTACTGACCATAAACCTGTGATAATCATTTAAATCTACTTACCCTTCGTTGGCCGGTTGGACCCTGGAATTGTAAACTTTTGTGCGAGTTGAAATTTTTCTTGCGTGAGGCAGTTTTAAAGGAGGAAGTCGTATTGATATGTGTTTTGCTTTCCGCGTCAGTGCTATGTTTCGCATCAAGGAACCCATGATTTGGTCTTATTATCACACTTAGATCGAGTGAGAGATGAGTGAGGAACCATCCGGCTTTGAGATCATCACGTTACTGATAAACGTGTACTGGATAATTAGCCTGTCTATAGGCTTGTAGCAGCAGTTTGTAATGTAAATGCACGCAGGCGCATTAGCATTCGTCACGCTATTCACGCCATAAACAGATAGAGGCATTCCCACCAAATCTAGTTTTAGCCCATTCGTCTAAGATCGCTGTTCTCTAGGGGGTTGGACTGACTCTCACTGCATTCTGCCCTGAAATTTGTGGTCGAACTCTATCAGCGTAAGAAGGTTCACCCCTTCTCCGTGGCGCTTGATCAACAAGACGAGTGCAAGTGCTAGTGATGGGAAAGAGAATACTACTTCTGAGTTGACAGTCCCGCCGGAGGCAATCCTTTATTTGACCCAAACGGGTATGTGTCACTGAACAGGGTATGGTTTTCAGTGTCTTGAGACTTACCCAAAATGAAACAAAAGATAATTAACTCTTTGCGAACTCACCAAATGCAATCGATTCAATCACATAAGAAACTCCAATTTTAGAGGGTCTCAATGGCGTAGCCTGCGAACAGCAGACGCATTTCCGGTCGTCGCTTCTCTTCCCCTTCTCTTTTCCGTTCTCTTCTCCCCTCTCCCCACTCCCCGATGTAAAATCTCCTCTCCCCTAGCCCATTAGGAAGGCCTGATACTCAGGCTACTCCAGTTCAAATTCAGTGTCCATTCCTGCATACTTCGCAATTCCCAACAACTTGCTTATTTCCTTACTTCCGGCTATTTGCCTCAAACTCCCGATGTTGGTTCGAATTATCGGGAGTCGACTGTAATACTTTTTGTAAAGCATCCCACTTCTAATTTTGTTTTACGCATAGAAATGTCAATAGTCAATTTAAACATAATCTTTGTGAAAAAGCAAAAGCAGACACGCGAACGCGCAACTCAAGGACTGGGCGCGACATTCATTTATAACAGAAATGGCCGTTTTCACGGATTATTCGTGTGAGACGGGTTATCCGTTGATAATTCGAGTCACGTCTTAATTTGAAAATGGAATGGTTTTAATTTTGAATTTCTAGCTAGACTTGCCTACAAGCTGCTACGAGTCGAGCTCAAATTTTTTCACAAGCGTGGCGCGAATCGCGAGCGGTAGTTTTTTTATGCTTTCAGTGGCAAAAGCGAGCCTACCAGAACCGGGAATGAGACGCGAAGGACTATAAGGAAGTCTAGCCTCTAGCCTGAAAGCAAGCTCTCCATCATGTAAATTCACGAACGAGTGGCATGCACGTACTCGAAAAGAGAAGCGAGAGCGAGGGGCTTTGCCACCTGCCGCGACTGTGTAACTACGAGTATAATTGTACTGACCATAAACCTGTGATAATCATTTAAATCTTCTTACCCTTCGTTGGCCGGTTGGACCCTGGAATTGTAAACTTTTGAGCGAGTTGAAATTTTTCTTGCGTGAGGCAGTTTTAAAGGAGGAAGTCGTATTGATATGTGTTTTGCTTTCCGCGTCAGTGCTATGTTTCGCATCAACGAACCCATGATTTGGTCTTATTATCACACTTAGATCGAGTGAGAGATGAGTGAGGAACCATCCGGCTTTGAGATGACTACGTTACTGATAAACGTGTACTGGATAATTAGCCTGTCTATAGGCTTGTAGCAGCAGTTTGTAATGTAAATGCACGCAGGCGCATTAGCATTCGCCACGCTATTCACGCCATAAACAGATAGAGGTATTCCCACCAAATCTAGTTTTAGCCCATTCGTCTAAGATCGGTGTTCGCTAGAGGGTTGGACTGACTCTCACTGCATTCTGCCCGGAAATTCGTGGTCGAACTCTATCAGCATAAGAAGGTTCACCCCTTCTCCGTGGCGCTTGATCAACAAGACGAGTGCAAGTGTTAGTGATGGGAAAGAGAATACTACTTCTGAGTTGACAGTCCCGCCGGAGGCAATCCCTTCTTTGACCCAAACGGGTATGTGTCACCGAACAGGGTATGGTTTTCAGTGTCTTGAGACTTACCCAAAATGAAACAGAGGATAATTAACTCTTTGCGAACTCACCAAATGCAATCGATTCAATCACATAAGAAACTCCAATTTTAGAGGGTCTCAATGGCGTAGCCTGCGAACAGCAGACGCATTTCCAGTCGTCGCTTCTCTTCCTCCTCTCTTTTCCGTTCTCTTCTCCCCTCTCCCCACTTCCCCATCTAAAATCTCCTCTCCCCATGCCCATTAGGAAGGCCTGATACTCAGGCTACTCCAGTTCAAATTCAGTGTCCATTCCTGCATACTTCGCAATTCCCAACCACTTGCTTATTTCCTTACTTCCGGCTATTTGCCTCAAACTCCCGATGTTGGTTCGAGTTATCGGGAGTCGACTGTAATACTTTTTGTAAAGCATCCCACTTCTAATTTTATTTTACGCATAGAAATGTCAATAGTCAATTTAAACATAATCTTTGTGAAAAAGCAAAAGCAGACACGCGAACGCGCAACTCAAGGACAGGGTGCGACATTCATTTATAACAGAAATGGCCGTTTTCACGGATTATTCGTGTGAGACGGGTTATCCGTTGATAATTCGAGTCACGTCTTAATTTGAAAATGGAATGGTTTTAATTTTGAATGAATAATCCACCTGACTTTATCCATCAATTTTGAAGGACAGTTTGAAGATGGATTATCCGTTTCAGATAGCATATGTACAGCCGCCCCCTTAAGTCTTGCGCTTTGTTCAGCAAGAGGGCAAAAGCACGCGAATTATTGGCGAAGCCGCTGGCGGCTACGTACGTCGCTCATTTGTTAGTTTGACGAACAAAACCCCGAGCTGCGCAGGTCGAACTGAGTGATAGCCTTGGAGATAGCCTGCGTGGCAGGCGTTTGAAAGGGAAGGGAAAGGGAGTTTTAGGTGCGAGAGAAACGGGAACAAAACTGTATTAAAAACTGAGTTCTTCATGTCCTGTACGTCGTTTCACTTTGGCCTAGGCCTAGAACTCATCGTGAATTTTTAATCACTTTTCATCAGACCGTTTTCTTCCATATATAAGGGCTTCTTATTCTCGGGGTCTTCTCTATATCCACAATATATTTTTTTCGGTGATTGTGAGCACTTCAAGGCAAAGTATTCGAAAAGTCAAAGAACGATGCTGAAATATACACAAGGTGCTTTCCTTTGGCGGCTACGGAAGCGCAGTAACCATGGTAACGCGCTATCCACGCTTGCTCATGCAGGCGGTACCCCCGTGAAATTATCGAATATGGTCAAAATCTTTCCTGATCAGTGGTTTCTTGTGTATTTTTGAAATGAATTGCTTCAATTGCCTGAATATGGTTATTGCTGAATCAAGTTTGCAGAACAATTTCTTTCAAGCCTGGGGATTACCTTTTTTGGAAAAAAAATTATATCTAGGTTCCAGAGTTCTGTCAGTTCGGCTTAAAAAGGTTTGCAACTTTCCTTTTGTTCCATTAATGGATGAAAAAACTTTACTTTATTGGAAGTATTTTATTAGACAGGGTTTAGACAAATTAATGGCTATACTCATGAATTTTTCACCAACTACTGTCAAATCTCTGCGTCAGTAGAAGCGTTTTACTTTGATAAAACATCTTTGTTCTTCACAAGGAGTGCCTTTTACCCCTTCCATTTTTCATTCAGGTGGTTTCGCTGATCTTTGATCTTGTTGAAAGCTTAAAATTATTTACAAAATCGTCTCGCGTATCCCAGTCGAAGCCAGTGCCCAGCTATAATTAATTTTTAAGACAATTTTGCTGCTTTTGATCTATTAGGTTGCCGACAAAGAGTTGAAATAATTGTTCGTTTAAAAGCGAAGGAAAACGGGCATCACAATAGTTGTGGAAGTTTTATAAATGATTTATTTATTACTTGAAAGCAAGAGAATATTCTAGAATGTTTCTTCGCCAAAAGTCGAAACAAAGGCCTCTTTCGTCTAATTTTGAAAAAAAAAAAAATTGAAGATACTGAGTATTCATTTACACGGTAATGTGCCTTGCAGCAGTAGATTGTGACATTTTCTGAAAAGGATGACGATAGAAAAAACTTTTCATAGGGGTTTTCCTGAATGCAATGGAGTATTCAAAAAGGACTCCTGAGGCATCCTCTGTGGCCTTTATGTGATACTTTGTTTTGACTGTCAAAGAATTTACGCAGAAATGCATGTCACACAAACACATGATTAACTTAAAGTGTTTTGATTGGTTGTAGAGCACTTTAGTTTCCCTCGCCAAGCACCGCCACCCGCCAAGTATTCTCTCAGGCAGTCAATCTGGTCGGCTGTAGACCTTGCAGAAAATGGCGTGCGGAGATTTTGACTCACTGGATTTCATTGCTTTCCAGGCAGATGCTAGCAGAAATAAGGTAGATTCGTCAACAGATTCTCTGGTATTATTCTGCAAATCTTTTCCGAATGAGGCTCGCGCCGGTGCGCTGTGATGCGCAAATTCTCTAGAGGGCGCTTAACGTAACTCTTCAGTAAGTAAATCCTTTTAATGCCGTAAAGCAGTTGCAGAATTTCAGACATATTTTTCTAAGAAAGTAACGCCGGACATTGTAAGAACTCTGTCGTCTTTTGCAATCGCAGCCTGGGGACAGTGTGAGTGAAAGTGACACACCTTCGGAATCATAACAACATGTACAGCTGTGTTCGCTAGAAACCAAATTTTAAGCTTCTTCTCTTCAAGTTGGATCGCCTATGAACCATGTTTACTATTTGATCTTGACAGAGAGAGGACGTTTTTTGAAATCTTTTTTTACAAAAGAGCGAAATCTTTACTTTTACAACCTCTTTGACGCTTTGAATTTTTTGTTACTCATCGATCACTTTGCAGGGGTGTGACTTAACCTAGCTAGCAAATCTGTCTTACAGTTCACATGTAGATTTATTCATTACACATCTCTTTGGTCGTTCAATCGATTGTCAGTGTCACTGTCAGTAGCTATTAATTCCTTGGATGCTTATAAACCTTTGCTAGAGAACATTGCTGGTTCTCCTTTTTTCGTCCCAAGCTAACGGATCGCTTGAAAGGAATGCTAGCATAAACGGAATGCAAATGCCATTTTGACTGGTGTGCGTTTGCAATTGTTGAAGTGTCGTTTGTTTTGGTGGCAAGTGGTGTCAGTAAATCAAATAACTCGACGTGAAACTTCTGTACACACAGTCGTGAAGCTAAGGAATATTTATCTAAATTTTAGCCTAAACATTCACTTCCTGGTTCAAATCAGTGTGGAGCTATAACAGATTAAATTTGGTTGTTCAATTTTTGTTTGCATTAAATTTGCTTAGTTAGAGCGGTTTTCACTTGGCTGTCGTAAAACCAAAACCAAAGTAAATACACTAGCCAACCAAAGGGCGTAGTAAAACCAAAACCAAAACCAATTCCTCAATTACTTTCGACAGTCAAGTGAAAACCACTCTAATATAAATTAATTGCAACTAAGTTGATAGTCATAAAAATAACGATAATCCCGAATAGTCAAGGAAGCATGGCTTGGTGATTTTGTATCAGCCAGAAGAAAGAATTCATGGCAGAGTTAATTTTTTATGATTCCAGATAAAAGATTGACTCGCAAAAAAGTTATTGCTTTTATTTCAAGATGTAATGATTCTATTTTCTTTTATCAGAATGCCAGATTTGGTTTATAGTATAATTTTTATTCGCATGACGTAGTTGACCTAATCACATTGAGAATCAATGAGGCTTTAAACTAAACATGGTATTAATTTCACAGTGATTTCAAAGTTACATTGCTTAATAAATTGCTGTTGGGATTCTTTGTGCTTGAAAACCCAGTCACATTGATTTATTATTATAATAAGCTGGACTGTACACAATTGGAGCTTACAAAACCAGAAAAGCACTTGTGAAATAACAAAGAAAGCCCATGGCATGGTTCATTGCATTCTCACGAACAGTTAACATCCTGCGGAGGAAGTTGTACATGTAGCAGGTTATAAGTTCATTAGTTACCATAGGTCTGGAGGGAATGAATGCAGGAGTGTACCTGGGCGGGACAAGGATAGCTGCCGAGTTTGGATTAAATGGTGCTGTCAATTTCAACGACAGGAGTTTTTCTGTTTAAAACTGAAAACTATGTTGAATACCAAATCTGAAAAACTTCTTTGTTGTAGGTTGGAAACCTAAAAACCAGTTCTTATAAAAGGACAATTGCACACCCCAAAAGATAGGAAAAAAGCTCATCCTCAAAATGGCTAAATTTGCAAAACCTTAAACCCCAATGTCCCCCTCCATAATTTGTCATGCTTAGCGGCAGTAACGTTTTTCACTTCAGAGAGATTTTGGAAATTGTGGTTAGTAGCGGAATCTGAAGAAACACTCAGGGTGACCTCCCACTGTCTTCTTTTCTTTAATCAAAACAGGACCCATTTAAAGCAAGTGAAATAGAAGGGAGCCAGTGTTTGGATTGCAAGGAAAATTGCAGAGGGCTTTCTGCTCATCCATGGAGGTTAGTCTGAAATTAAGTTCTGTACAATTTTCGGAGTGTTGATCAAATATTAAAAAAAGGGGGTGCACATGTCGATTCAGTTGTTTCAATATCCTGAACATATGTCTGTTGATAGCTGTAGGTAGAAGAAATGTCTTATTTGGCTTCCCCAGGGCGGTTGCTAAGGATTGAGGGCTGGGGATTTTCCATGGCTACTATTAGCATGACCTCCAGCTACTTTCATAGGAAATAAAAGTAAAATTATGGAAGCAAAAAAATTCATAGTTCCATTTGCCGCCTACTAATTGCATTTACAGTGGAACCTTGATATAAAGAGCCTCCATATAACAAAGTATTGCTCCAGTGGTGATATGAGATGACACTAGTTCACGTACTGATGTTTATTTCTTTTCTTAACCTTACTTCCGTAAACACCGTGAGAACTTGTTGATGTCCTTAAATCACTAGGACAAGGAAAACTTCTTGGCTTCTTGAAATGGTTGACAAAAAACTTGTGTCAACTAACCGCAAAAACAAAAAACTTATCCTTTTAATAACAAAATTGCATGGCACTTTTGCGTGTGTCCTAGCTTGCATTAGAAGGAACTTTCTAGTTAAATCTAGAAATTGTGTTAGCGTGCGCATGAAGACAACAAAGATTTCAGATAAAAAATAAGTCGATTAAATGTGTGGCTAATTGCTGTAGTTACAAAGTCCGCAGTATGATGAACGAATTTAGTACTCTAGTAATAGTAAAAATATATGTGAAAAAGAACCTCGATATAACAAAACCTCGTTACAGCGAACAAATTTTGCCAGCCCCTTGGGCCTTCACTATATTTTGAGGTTCTGCTGTACCCAGCAATTTAAAATTTTAGCAACAGGTCTACTTCTCTCATCTCATCATATTTTCAAAGTTTTAGGTTTGAGATTCTATTATCTCCATTTGCTGGTAGGTTTCTTCTTTTATGTGCATTAACTGACCAGCTGTCTATTTCAGGAATTAAGGCATCTAAACTGTTCATTGCTTACATCAATATGTTCTTAATTTCCAGGAAGTATTGCATTTTCTGCAAGTGCCCAGTTGAATGTCATGACATACCACAAAATAGCAGTTACCAAAATTTGCCAGAAGACCGCATGTGTGTTGAAGAGAAGCCACCAAGATCTTCATTAGCCAAAGTGAAGGGTGCACATTCTGAGGGTTATGAGTGGGTACCAGCTGGTCTGTCAAGTGGCCAGGTATGTGCTGTCGTGTATTAAAATACTGTCAACTGTCCCATAACTGACAGTGATAAGATTGGATGTGTCCCTGATACAGACACCTAGAGTTCTCGAGTCCATCAGCTGTTCTTCAGGTTTTTTTTACTCTGCAGGCGGGGACACCTTTCCAAGATAAAATCAGTAACAAAATTGTTGAGACATTGTACTCAAATAGGGTAACTTCGAAGACCAAAAGAATCCACACCCCTCCCCTGTCCCCTCTATTCAAAGATGGTGTGTTTGTTGTTTTCTATAGGTAGCTCAAACAGCAGTACAACATTGCATGGAGGGGATTGAGGGAGGAAAAGGTATATTTTCCCCTTTTGAAGTCAGGAACACCTCGAAGTGTCTCAACTCATTTTGTTGCCGATTGTAGTTACTTAGTCACAGCCCTAACAGTGTCTGTCTTAAGAGACAGGTGACTGTATCATATAAATGGGGCTTGAAAAAAGTCCCGACTCAGGGTGTAAAGGAAGTCAGTTTTACAGCCTGCCATTTGAGAAAGCTGTAGCTCGCATGTACTAGCCCACAAGTCATGTCAGCTAGCCCCAAAACCCTTTTTGATTAGCAGGATTGATTACAAACCTTCTGTAAATTGAATTTCCCCCCAAAACACCACTTTCTCGTCAGGCAAGTTAAGAACAAAAAACACTAGTCCGATAGCAAAATCCACTAGCCCTGGGCTATCGGACACCACTTTCTTTGCATGCTGCAACTGGTAGTCCAGTACAAGCAGATCTTCTTCCGGGGCAAGTACATGTAACTTTTTAAGTTTACTTGCCTGATGGGCAAGTCAAAGCAAGTCATCTTCTAACTAGATCATTAACTAAGATGACCAAAAAGTGACCCCAGGCAAGCAAATATGTGAGGTGCTTGCTCAAAGGGCCATCTGTAATTCAAGTTTTTTTCAAGCCCTGATAAGGCCAATATTTTTGTGAAGGCTTTCTGAAGAGTTATGAACTTCTCACAAAAAGGAGTTTGCGGTAAAACGACTTGAAAGTGTGATCATTCACTTTTACATTTTTGCTCGCATTGTTGCTAGCTCATTACTTTTCTACACATTTCTAACAAATATGACACTCAGGGCTTAAAATTTTTAAAATGGTGTGAGAAATTGATTGGACGGGTGAGTGAATATAAGATCGATCAAAATTTTATTCTTGATCCACAGACGTGGGACATGAGAGTTGTTAGGTATACACTCTTTTCATGATTATTTTATTGTGTTGTTTATTCATTTGTTTTATTTGTTTATTAAGATCAAAGACTTTATGTCCAAACTTCCTCATGGTAAGGTTCCAAAGCTTGACTCTCAAGGTTCAAGGTACAGGGTAAAACAGCTTGTTTATCAGATGCCACTGCAGGATTTTTCAAGCAAACACTGTCGCAAATTAACCCTGGATCAAAAGATGGCGATGGATGACATGTGCACCAAGAGAATTGAAAAGGCGTTGGGAGTTGGTAAGAATGTTGTTTTCTTCACTAGCTGATACTTACCTCCATGCAAAATCCATGGTTTTTTGTTGTCACTAGAGATAAGTCACTCAAGTCATGCTATCAAATGAATACTTTTTTGATATAGGCCAAGTGCTTTTCTTCATATGCTTGTCTTGTGCAAGCTAGCTACCTTACTGACACTGTAAGTCACCAGAGGCATCTCATTTAACATGTTGCACACTGTAAGAACAGTGCAAAAACCAGTGAAGTTGCCTTTTTTGGTTGAGAATGTTGATGAGTTTCCTGTTTAAAAGCAAATAAATTGAAATAAATTGTGGACTACTGATGGAAATGTTCTGGAGATTAAAATCAAGAAGAATTATCAGGAACAAGTTGGAGATTTGTTTACCTTGCTTGCATTTTCCCTACTTTAAATTAATCTGATAGAGATTTGTTAACCTGTTGTGTTTGCAAAAACATATTAGAGCACTTCATCATATAGCCACTAATGAAATATCAGGTGAGCTTTGGTGTAAACATGATATCTACACATGTAAAAATAACATGTTATCTTCGCATAGGAAAAGGTCACCATTGCTGTGGCCATGTTACAGGTCAAATTTGATTTCAGCTTAAATTTTTTTAACGTAGGTTGATTATCAATTTCCTTTGTCTCTTAGCTCCAATTATTCATGAATTAGGGATAGGAAACAAAGGAAATTAACCCTCTAAGCCCCAAGAGTGATCAAGCATCAAATTTCTCTTTGCAAAATCAATGCTGTGTAAAACAGAGTGGTCATGAGAATTATGGACATGATCACACAAGATGAATTTGCTTGATATTTTGTCAACTTCTCCTCACTACTTCTGTAGGAAATGAATGAGGGCAACAAATGAGAATTCAAATTTTGATCTTAGGGTTTAAAGGGTTAAGAATCAACTTAGGTTAAATCAAAATTAACCTGCAATCAAATTTGACCTGTAGCAGCTACATAATAAATTGTGCCTTTTTCAGCAGAAAAAAAAAAATTAAAGTGACATAGCATGGTTGGGTATTTCATTGGTCTTAACCCATTAAGTCCCAATGGTGACCAACATCAATTTTCTCCTAACGATATCCATACAATGTCATGAGATTTGGTTATGAGAATTAATAAAATGATCACCTAAGTAAAAATGCCTTGATCTTTTATCAAATTCTCTCAACACATTCTTTATGGAAATGTATAGAGATCAGTTTGGAGAAATTGTATGAGGATATTGGGGCTTAAAGGGTTAAAATAATATAAACATTACATTACATTTTGTAATAAATAGAACATTGCATGGCCGCTTTGAGATGTGAAATTTCTCTTCTTGCGTTCAAAAATATTTCACTTGTTGGTTGTGCTGACACTCATGAAATCTTTTCCACACTCGAAAAGAAATTTTTTTGTCTCCACACAGCCATGTAATTTCCTCTCTATGTCTGTGAACAAAAAAAGCACTAGATTAGTTTGTGTTAAACAAGTAGAGTCTTTTATTTTATTATTTATATACACTTGAGAATCATGTAGGTTGATTATTTTTCTATGTACTTTAGGGGCAGTAAAAGCCAGTCTTACAATGCCAGCAGCTTGTGAAAAATGCAGTATGCCCATGAACTTTGGAGAGATGGCTATCTTCACATTCCGTGCTGGACCTGAAATTTGTTGGCATGTGCAGTGTTTTGTCTGCAGTGAAGACAGTGAGTTGCTGGTTGATCATATTTACTGCTGGGATACAGATAATAAAAAGCTTTATTGTCCAAGGCATTGGAGTGAGTTCTTGAAGCCTCGATGTGCTGGATGTGAAGAGGTATGTTTCAGTCACCGGAAGGGCTATGCTATAGCAGTGCAGTACANGTTGCTGGTTGATCATATTTACTGCTGGGATACAGATAATAAAAAGCTTTATTGTCCAAGGCATTGGAGTGAGTTCTTGAAGCCTCGATGTGCTGGATGTGAAGAGGTATGTTTCAGTCACCGGAAGGGCTATGCTATAGCAGTGCAGTACATCCGGAGGGGAAAGTGGTGGGAATGGTGGGAATGGTGGGGTTGGTAGAGCAATATTTGAGTATAGGTGAGCCGCTGTGGGTTTGAAGCCCTGACTTTGTTTAGGACCAAAAAACCCTAATTTACTTACTGTGCTTAGGACAGCACCCTCAATTTTATTACCTTACAAGAAAATCAGGGTCTGAAATTACGCCTTCCTGGTAGCCAATGCGACTAAAAAGTCAGCACTGGCAACCAGATTTTCATATCTGGTCGCAAGCAGCAGCTTGTAATTTGTGGACTTTCACGTTCAGAGAAAATGATAAACAATTGAAAGCTCAAAGCTATTTGCCAACAGGTGTCTTTTTGTCTTAAAAGTGAAACAAAACTTCCTGTAAAAATACCTCCACAACAGCTACGATCAATATGAGTTTCAAGAACATTTCCAAGCCGCCATGTTGTTTTCAGCTGAAATACGGTAAGTATGTAACTTAAATCTAACTTATGTATGTGTAACGATACTGTGGCCATATTTCCACGGTTGTGGCCTGGTACGAGCAACATGGCGGCTTGACTTGTGTTTTAATATGTTCCATGTTTCGTGGTAGTTATGATGTCGGAAGAAAGTAGAGTTTTGATATGATCAGTGCAGTTGTGGGCAGATAGCTTTCTGTTCCTTCGTTCTAGGTCAGATAACTTTATAGCAAAAAGTAATTTGTGGAAAAAAAATAAGACTTCACTCGTACATGTACAGTTGTTTTCTGGTATCCGGTGCGGAAGTAGTGCAATTTTTGAGCATAAAAACGTCCATACCATGCATTTTTTGTTCATCTTAAAACTTTTAGTCGAAAAAAGGGGAGGAGTAATTTTTGGCGACCACTATTTGCCCTCTGGTGACCAAAAATTTATACTTGATTGCCAGTTGGAGCCCGTACTAAAAAGTTAAATTCGAACCCTGAAAATGTGTAGCATCCTGGGAGGAGGAGGCAGTCCAGAGAGTAAAATGGCAAGGACTCTTGGGAAGGCTATGTCAGCCTTAGAAGAGCAGCACCAGCAAGAATATCAGTGTGCACATGTCTGACGACACTCGGCGGCTACTTCAAGCATTTTCCAATGCAACAATTGTCAGCATTACTGCAGATCCCGAGCGGGTCTGACTGCCCACACCAGAGCCTGTTTAAGATAGGCCTCAACTCAAATACAAGACAGTCATCTTCGGCAATGAGGGACAGCCATTATTATTATTACATCATCCTACTGTAAAGTCATTTATTGGCATTTACAATATTGAGCAAATGTTATGGTCATTTCTTTTGTATACATGTATGTGGTGTGCTATAAAAGAAGTTTCATCAAGCACACAAATCAATCATGCAGGCAATACCCTGCATATATAATTTATTAGGACAGACTCAAGCAAAATGTTCTTCCCTATTTCGGACACAGAGAACAAAAACCATACCCTGTCCAGCGTTGTATCCCTCCCCCTTGAATAGATAGTGGTTCCTGGCAACTTGCTTTACGTTGGGGTGAAAATGAAATCTTAAGAGCAACAGTCAGGAAAAATCGACCAAAATCTTAATTTCGTGGCAAGAGTTGAAAAATGAATTTCTTTCATTTTTTGTTCATAGAAAGCTTTTAGGTAGATAAGAAACCTAATATAGATTGTTTCCTCCAAAAGCCTTTTATTTGTAAGAAAAACTAGAAGATCGGTTTTCGATGTCGGAGTCTCAGACTGCCCTAATTTTTAACCTGAAATTCGCAGTAACGTCAACATTCCTCACGTTCGCAAACAAAGCTGTATGAAGAAATTTGGACACTTTCCACGAACAGAAAAATTATTTTTCTTCCACTAGAACATATTTTCAGGGCAATAGCGTAGCTCGTCGTACTGAAATAATTCAAAAATGAGGGATAGGTTTTCAGGATAACAAAAACTTAAGTTCGTTACTCATTATCGACCGCAATATTTAACATGTGGTATAACTCCAAATTCTCTTCACGCTATTTAAATCACACATTTAGACATTCATTAAAAACATACCTGGGAATTGGCTTGGGTTATTGAAGGAAATCTCTGTAAGACACCATCGAAGTTCAGGAATTTTCATGGTAGGCCGAAGGTTATTGTGTAAACACTTCCAATTTCGAAATGCACAAAAGTAGAAACTTACAGCCTAAAGGCTTATTTTTTGTAGTTCTTGTAGGTTTCCCCATTGCAAAGTTGCTTATTTCAATCAAAGAGTGGAGTAAAAAGGTGAAACTGGGTCAATTTTAGCCATTTTGAGACACTGAACTCTACCAGCCGGCGACTCGGCGTGACAATCTCTTCCGTGACAGCACCTGTCATAACGTACGTTTGAAGAGACGGTGCCGTCAAAATGACAGTCACGGAATCACGGTAGTAACGCAACCCAATTCTTGAAAGAGTAACATTTTTGGTGCCGACAGTATTTTGAAGAAGAAAAATATCAAACGCCCTAGTAATCTGGTGCTCACTTTTTATTGAAAAATAAGGGCTTTAACAATGGTAATTCGCTAAGGATGACGGAACAGGAAGATATTTCGTCCTGTTACTTTACGATCGAGGAAACCTTGGAGCCGTTAAATAAGTTGTTTTGGTCACGCTTCACTATATTTACCCGACTTCGATGCTTTCGTTTGAAGGCTGCTTTTAGGAACCCAAGCCAATTCTCAGTTATGTTTTAGATGAATGTCTAAATGTGTGAATAAACGAGGACTGGGAAAATTTGGAGCTATACCACATGAAGAATAATGTCACAAAAAACAACTACTAAATTAGAGTTTTTGTCACCGTAAAAACCTGTTCTTCGTTTTTGAATTATGTCAGTTCAACGAGTCTCGATATTGCTTTGAAAGTACCTTCTATTGAAAGAAGAAGAGTTGTTCTGTTGATGGAAAGTGTCCAAATTTCTCCTTGCGCCTTTATTTGCGAACGCGAGGAGAGCTGATGTTAGCAAATTTCGGGTTGAACATATGGCCATTTTGAGACTCCGACCACGAAAACTGATATTTTAACTTTTCTCGAAAATAAAAGGCTTTTTGCGAGAACAACTTACATCAGATAACTTATCTACCTAAAAACTATTTACGGACAAAAAATGAAAGAAATCGATTTTTCAACACTTGCCACTCGATGGTTGATATTTCCTGACCGTTAATTTTTGCACACAACTTAAGTGCGGGCTAACCTAGTTTAGGAGTTTGGGGCACCCAGCAATTTCAGCGTCAATTAACAATGACTTCATATATCCAGTAAAATTAATACAAACATTAACAGTTAACTAGAAGGTATATGTAAGGGTTTAAAGGAGGCACTTATTTAATATTTTTATCCTCAAGGGGGTGCTTATTTGGGGAGGGTGCATATTTGAAGGAGAAATTCAAGTATCTACCAGGGCTGTCATTAAGAGCCTGGGGCCAGGGATTGTCCCCCGCTACTACATGTATAAACATGACCCCACCTATTTTTGTAGGAAATTATAGAAGAAAAATATTACCAAAAGAAATCCTTAGCTGTTTGATTCCTTGCCTATACTTATTACTTACCCGGCAGGCTGCTTGAAATCTTTGTGACAGCCCTGATTAACAGTGAGACCTTTTTCTTTCCTTTCTATAGTTGATCTATGTTGGTGAATATTCACAAGCTATGGATCAAAACTGGCACCCAGGACACCTCTGTTGTTTCTATTCTGCTGGGATACAGATAATAAAAAGCTTTATTGTCCAAGGCATTGGAGTGAGTTCTTGAAGCCTCGATGTGCTGGATGTGAAGAGGTATGTTTCAGTCACCGGAAGGGCTATGCTATAGCAGTGCAGTACACCCGGAGGGGAAAGTGGTGGTGGTGGGAATGGTGGGGTTGGTAGAGCAATATTTGAGTATAGGTGAGCCGCTGTGGGTTTGAAGCCCTGACTTTGTTTAGGACAAAAAAACCCTAATTTACTTACTGTGCTTAGGACAGCACCCTCAATTTTATTACCTTACAAGAAAATCAGGGTCTGAAATTACGCCTTCCTGGTCGCCAATACGACTAAAGAGTCAGCACTGGCAACCAGAATTTCATAGGCGACCTGTAATTTGTGGACTTTCACTTTCGGAGAAAATGATAAACAATTGAAAGCTCAAAGCTATTTGCCAACAGGTGTCTTAATTTTTGTCCTGCTGATATTTTTAATTAAAAGTGAAACAAATCTTCCTGTAAAAATACCTCCACAACAGGTACAGTCAATACGAGTTGAACATTTCCAAGCCGCCATGTTGTTTTCAGCTGAAATATGGTAAGTATGTAACTTAAAGATAACTTATGTATGTGTAATGATACTGTACCCTTTTCTCCACGGTTGTGGCCTGGTACGAGCAACATGGCGGCTTGACTTGTGTTTTAATATGTTCCGTGTTTCGTGGTAGTTATGATATCGGAAGAAAATAGAGTTTTGATATGATCAGTGCAGTCGTGGGCAGATAGCTTTCTGTTCCTACGTTCTAGGTCAGATAGCTTTATATCTCCAAAAAGTAATTTGTGGAAAAAAAATAAGACTTTGAACACTCGTACACGTACAGTTGCTTTCTGGTATCCGGTGTGGAAGTAGTGCAATTTTTGAGCATAAAAACGTCCATACCATGCATTTTTTGTTCATCTTTAAACTTTTAGTTGCAAAAAGGAGAGGGGAAATTTTTGGCAACCACTATTAAAATAATACTTGATTGCCAGTTGGCTGCTGTATTAAAAAGCTAATTTCGGACCCTGAAAATGTATAGCATCCTGGGAGGAGGAGGCAGTCCAGAGAGTAAAATGGTGCGGACTGTTGAGGAAGGCTACGTCAGCTGTAGAAGAGCAGCGCCAGCAAGAATATCAGTGTGCACATGTCTGATGACACTCGGCAGCTACTTCAAGCATTTTGCAATGCAACAATTGTCAGCATTACTGCAGATCCCGAGCGGGTCTGACGGCCCACACCAGAGCCTGTTTAAGATAGGCCTCAACTCAAATACAAGACAGTCATCTTCGGCAATGAGGGAGAGCCATTATTATTATTACATCATCCTATTGTAAAGTCATTTATTGGCAATTACAATATTGAGCAAATGTTTTGGTCATTTCTTTTGTATACATGTATTTGGTGTACCAACAAGTTTCATCAAGCACACAAATCAATCATGCAGGCAATACCCTGCATATATAATTTATTAGGACAGACTCAAGCAAAAAGTTCTTCCCTATTTTGGGCAAAAAGAACAAAAACCATACCCTGTCCAGCGTCATATCCCTCCCGCTTGAGTAGACAGTGGTTCCCTGCAACTTGCTTTACGTTGGGGTGAAAATGAAATCTTAATTTTTGCACACAACTTAAGTGCGGGCTAACCTAGTTTAGGAGTTTGGGGCACCCAGCAATTTCAGCGTCAATGAACAATGACTTCATATATCCAGTAAATACAAACATTAACAGTTAACTAGAAGGTATATGTAAGAGTTTGAAGGAGGCACTTATTTAACATTTTTATCCTCAAAGGAGTGCTTATTTGGGGAGGGTGCATATTTGAAGGAGAAATTCAAGCATCTACTAGGGCTGACATTAAGAGCCCGGGGCCAGGGATTGTCCCCGGCTACTACACGTATAAACATGACCCCGCCTATTTTTGTAGGAAATTATAGAAGAAAAATATTACCAAAAGTTAGCTGTTTGATTCCATGCCTATACTTGTTGCTTACCCGGCAGGCTCCTTGAAATCTTTGTGACAGCCCTGATTAACAGTGAGACCTTTTTCTTTCCTTTCTATAGTTGATCTATGTTGGTGAATATTCACAAGCTATGGATCAAAACTGGCACCCAGGACACCTCTGTTGTTTCTATTGTGATGAATCCCTGTCAGCACAAAAATTTGTCACAGTTGATAAAAACCCAGCTTGCGTCAAGTGCTATGACAAGAATTTTGCCAATAATTGTGAGAATTGCAAGAAGCCTATCGGTCCTGGCGCCAAAGATGTTGACGTCCGTGGAAGACATTGGCATGAAGAATGCTTTGTTTGTTCACAGCCGGATTGCGAGAAACCATTGGTATGTGAACCTTCACTTGCCCCTATATTATTACAAATTATCTTAGTAGCTTAGTTTTTACATAATGAATTGCCTAGGGCATTTACTACAATTAATGCAGCACTTCAAAGGGGTGTAGATTTGCATTGGGCAAGGACGTGTTATTTTGAATAGAAGCATTTAATAGAAGAATAAGAACATGATAATTTTAAATTAAAGCTATTTTGTATATTTGTTAGAATTCTGAGACTGTGTGGAATGTTTTGTAAAATTCCCCTCCCCTATGATTTTGATTGAAAATTTTTGGAAAAAATGTGGGGCTTACACGGTGGTTTATTGAAAGTGCCCCCGATTTTTAATTAGGTTCAGTTTTATTTTGTAAATTACATGACCAGAGTGCAAGGAAAGTCGTGTCCGATAGCCCGGAGCTAGTGGATTTTGCTATCGGGCTAGTGATTTTTGGAGTTCTTAACTTGCCCGACAGGCAAGAGCTGTTTTTTGGGGAGATTCAGTTACAGAAGGATTGTAATCAATCCTGCTAATGAAAAAGGGTTTTGGGGCTAGTTGAAATGACTTGTGGGCTAGTACATGCTAGCTACAGCTTGTCCGAATGGCAGGCTGTAAAACTGACTTTCTTTGCACCCTGATGACATTCCTTTGCAGCTTAATCAGGGTTTCACCTTTAAGGATGATAAACTCATATGTCATCCTTGTCGTGGAATTACACCATCCAAAGTGTGTGAAGCATGTGGAGGTGATTTTGCACCAGGCGAGAAAAAGGTTGGATATCAGAGCAAAACTTTCCATGAGAAATGCTTTACTTGTGATGAGTGTAAACAACCTATTGGGACACAGCAGTTTATCAGGAGAGAAGACAAGCGCTTGTGTGGCTCCTGTTTTGATACTGGTTATGCTAAGGTGAGCAAAATAAATTTTTGAATGAGTTCAACTTAAATGGGTTGGTATTGGACATGGAAAACCTGGAAAGTCATTGAATTTGACAATTATTTCATTTTCCAAGCCTGGAAAGTTATGATTTTTATTGTCCATCATGCATGGAAATTCTGGAAAATTAAAGTTCTGAAGGGTAGGTTAATCACTTTTCAGTAACGCAGATGTTTAGCAAGGACGAAATAGAACAAAGAGTTATTAATAAACAACAGGAACAGCCTGCATTTTAGCAGTCACCAGGAGTTGTGTCTGTTGAATTGAAATGTGTCAGGAAATACCAGAAAACAAGGATAGTTAGGAAAATTTTTGAAAGTGACCACTAAATTGTGGAAGGTCATGGTTTTGTAATAGATTAACAGAATAATATTATTTAGTCAGTTAACTATGTTGTGAACTGACTCCCTGTACATGTTTACACTGATCTGAGGATCAGATCTGAGGTGTTCCAAGGTGACGTCACATGTATTTTCTGTGTTTTAACCAGTTTCTCTGTATGCGGATGGAGTTTAACCATTCACACTTCAGTTGCCCAAACCTGCCTGTGTGGATCCACATGCCTTCTTTCACTGGTAGCACATCAGTTTAAATAGTCCTAGACAACTTTGACCCCTAACTTTTGCAGGGGGAAAAGACCTTAATTTCAATCTTAATAAAGTACCGTTTGATCGTTGTACTCTTTCAGATTTGTGTTAAGTGTAAAGAGCCCATTAAGTCCTCCTCAGTGAAGCATGACGGCAATTCTTACCACTCGGAGTGCTTTGTCTGTTCCATGTGTTCACAACCTCTTGCCGGAAAACCATTCACCAAACATGAAGGCAGCAATATCTGCCAAGATTGTTACCGCAATAGTTATGCCAAGAGATGTGCGGCCTGTCAGGAGCTCATAGAAGGAAGTGTCAAGTTTGTAGCTTATGATGAGAAGTTCTTTCACCGAGATTGCTTCACTTGTTCAAAATGTGGCCTTGCATTGGCTGGGGAGAAGTTTCGTGTGTTGTCTAATGAGAAAGTTTGCATCAATTGTAGCTTGTAAGTTGCTGTAAGGTTCGCAGTATTAATGTGATTCCTTTAGTTTTATAAAGGCTTTTTTTTAGTTGCTGTAGTCAATAAAGATATATTACCCTTAGTATTTTTTGTACCCTACTACTTCTTGTGGTTAAAAAAATGAAGATAAGTTATTTGTCAAGAAGTTATGTTAAGATCATTTTATATTCTACTGATGTTAAGAGCATTAACTAAAGCAAAATACTGCCAGATCTCTCAGTTACTGCCTAGAACATATTATAACCAAAGTTATAAGCAGACTTAAGGTAAATAATAATATTATTATTAGTGGGGGAATAAGTACATTCTCCGTAGAAGCAGTACTTTATTCCCCTAAGTAATTAAGGACTCTTAGGGAAAATAAATTATTAGTCAAGAATAGTAGCATGCTTTGTGGAAGCAGTGCTTTAGTACCCTAAGTAAAGATCAAGGCTGGTTCAGTTGGAGAAATTCTTTGTTGGTGAAGTAACCTGCCCAAAGATAACTAGAAGGGGAAACATAAAAAAACAACCATAGCAGTATCTCATCTGAAATTAAATAAGTACTGTATTGAATCAATATAGAAAACGTAAATGTATTGTGGCTCAATTTTGTCCTTGGCTTTATAATGCTGATTTTCTTTACAAGTTTCATACTCATTATCCTACATTACCATGTTCCAAAACAATGGAAAATAATATATTGGGAAAGATTCTATTCCTGCCCTAGAAACTTTTTATAAAGAAAGTTGTACTCAGAGGAAAGAAGGCTTTAACTAACATATTTTGACCAATAGTACAGTTGAACCCACACGCGACGTACAAGGACCTTGGTATAACTTGGAAATATCTTGGTTTAAACTGTCTTTACTGTGGTACGAAAAATATTTACTTTATAAAGGGAAAACTAAAATTAAACCAAGGATAAAATTCAGCCTCAACATAATACCTTTAGTCAAAGTCGCCAATGGGAAAGTGATCCCACACTTTTTTAAGGCAGCAATCTTAGTGCCAACTTGGTCCTTGTAGAAGGTTCCTGTTACCTTCGTCCTTTTTCAAACTGCTGTCTTCTAGTAGAAGCAACAGTGGTCTGTACCTTGAGTGGGATTTATACTCTATTTTTCACTGCCACCCACTTAACCTACGGAAGATGATCTATTTCTTCTTAAACTTAATACCCTCTCTTCAGAGAAATATTTAAGATTTTAAATTTTCAGTACATTTTAGTAAATAGTAGTCCTATTTTAAAAGATAATGGTTAAAAGTTCGTATTTTTTTGTAATAACTGTTGTGTTGTGGTTTCTCAGTTTTATCCTTTGAGTAAGTTTTATTACAGTTAATGGAGTGGAATGGTTTTTGAAGCACGTCAGACTCCTAATGTGGACTTGAAGGTGCACGATGTTCAATAGCAGTTCGACCCATCATTTTGATCTTACTGACCAATAAAGACGTGGCATTAATTTATTCTGTCACAATTCAGGTACACACTACGTAATTTTAAGATTGTACTGAGGCTCCGAAATCCCAATTTTAACGTTTAAAAAGTACTGAGGTAACAGAACGTTAAGGGGCCTTCTCTGAACTCGTGTTTCTTTTGGTTTAGTTGAAATCACAGAAAAATGACCAGAAAGCCTCGGAGTCATGGTAGAATTTTAACGTATTGAACATGGGCTTTTTGTGATGCAAACCATCAGGAAGCTTCCAACATAAACTGCAGCACTGTTGTTTTTATGTTTGACGTTTTTCTGCCTTTCATGACCAGTCTCCTCTATTAATTACCTGTGGTTTTATTTCTCGTCGTTTTGGCTATGTTGATACGTGACAAAAAGTATAAAACACTGTAGGATAATAAAACTTGAACCAAGGATGAAATTGAACCTCAGAAGCCATGTCTCAACATGTTGTTAAGGTAGTGGTTTTTGTATATAAATGTTTTATAAGTTACACTGATAATTTTTCACGTGAAACATTATTACATAGTATATGTAAATAGCAATTTAGGAAATTTGACCATGATTATTTCTGAAGTTCAAAGGCCAACTGATGTTTGTGTTTTTCACTGCTGTCAATCAATCATCTAAGCGGACCTCTTAGAAAACAGAAGTTCACTTCAACACGTTCAAAAGGTCATGATTTGCGATTGGTGGATTTTGATCTGTTTTGTATGTTACTGTGTTTCAAGGTTGGTTGCTTTTGATTGTAGTAAATATTATGATTGATGGCAGCAAAAAACGCATTAGGGAAGGCGGCTTTTGGACTTAGAGATTGCCTGTTTTTGAAAAGTGCAGTAACAGTTTACTGTTTGACAAAATAATTTATAAACATTGTTTCATTTTTGATTTAGTAGACACAGAATTGAAACCTAGGAAATTTAATTATGATAATGCTATTGATTATTGTCAGGACATCAGAAAGGTGTCTGTAGTAATAAGTGTGTTACAGTTTAACCCCACTTATGGATTCAGGGGGTTCCAAGGGGTCTAACCCCACCCCCTCTAAATTTAAGCGTCAAACTGGAGTATTATTCAAAGCACTTTACTAAAAATATATGAAGATTTTTATGAATAGGATTTCATATGTACTGTGTGTCATAACAGTAAAGTCTGGTTCTCATATGCTGCCGATATATCTACAACGAAGCCACCAGTACTGCCTCGGCTACTTCTCAGACGAATGAGAACATGCACCGCCAGCAACTAGAGCCATCGCAAAGCTTCACCGCTGGCATGCCTGCGAAGTTGAACTCAAGTCAACTTAAAGACCTGGATGACTTATGTTGCTGGCCACTTCTGTTCTCATATTGCAACAGTATCCCAGGCAGTACTGGCGACCATGTCGCAGGTGCACCAGCGGCATATGAGAACCAGGCTTAAGGGTCTATGCAGGACTGTCTGTATGCAGTAGGGAACATGGTGTGGAACTTCAACTGTGTCCACTGGCCTGCTAATGCAGCACCTTTCAGTCCCTCCCCATCAATGTGGAGGAGGGGGCGTGAGCATTGATGAGAGGTGACTGTATTTGCAGGCTACTGTGTGCACGAGTTAGACCCCCTGAACAAAACGCCCTGCTTACAGTGGCAGATCCAGGGGAGGTGCCCTCCCCCCAACTTTATTTTCAGACCGAACTAAAGCCTGAAGGGCCGAAAAAATTTTCACTTGAGACCGGGCACTCCTTATCTCAAGGTCTGGATCTGGCACTCGATTATATGGCAAAAATTGCCCACTGGGACAGTTGGGAAGCCTGTAATACTGAGGTGTCTGTATTCCCAGGGGGGGGGGGGGGGCCCCCCTAAAGGGCCCTAAAGGGGGGGGCCCGGCCCAAAGGGGGACCCTTTCCCGGCCCCAGGGTATAGAAAGGGGGGGGGTTTAAACAGTTGAAGTATTTTAATCTTTTTTTTGTGTTTTAAAAAACCCCTAAAGGGGTAAATGAAAAATTTTATGGTGTGAAAAAATGAAGAAGATTTTC